TCGGTTTGTTCATATAGCGCTACGTTTGTTACTGTAGAGTATAAATAATTATTCAAAATGTATTGAAGAATATTCTGAGAAGAAATTTCAATTGTTACTGTATCTTTTGGAATTGAACGTATCGTCTTTGCGAATAACACCGGAGACAACAAGTGATTTGTATAATATTTTGAACATAAAGGTATAGTATTGGAGTACTCGTGAGAGGATGTTTTCAGCCACTTTGAGCTGTGAAACTTTTTTTGTGGTAATGTTTGGTTCAAGTATTCTTCAGACTTAGCTACAACAGGTTTGATGTAACGACTATGAAAAGGTATATAACCACAAGAAATTTCTTTTATAGATATATTATTCGCCTAAAAGAATGAATAAAATTATAAGTATGATTAATTGCTTGTTTAATAAAACAATTAAAGAAACTAGATAGAAGAAAGATTATATTGTTTATAACCATTAATATATACCTGCAATTTGGTGAGGAATGTTTTTATAGAATTCGTTGGTCCGCTTACAATAAAATTAGAAGAACTATTGTAACAAGCTATATCGATATCCGAAGGACACATAACTTTTAAGGTTTCAAGGTCGAGATTAATTTCAGCCATGGAGCCATTAATTATTTTCGATTCGTGAAGGGCTAAACCGATGAAATATGCTGACAGAATCGTTTCTTCGGCCGTTAAACATCCATCGGCATATCCACAGATTAGTTCACCAATGGAGTGACCAATTATAAAATCGGGGATTACACCAATAGATGTTAAAAGATCAACTAATCCAATCTGCGATACATATAAAAGAAATAGCTTCCCATTTGGTTTAAATAAAGATTAGGATTGTGAAGTAATTATAAAATAATTTTTTTAAATTATCTTTATAAAATTTGGTATGTATATATATATACATACATATATATATACATATATATATACATATATATATAGTATAATTTATGAAGGCCAAGCAAAGAGTTTTTTTTCTTACCTGTAGTCCAATAAGACCCAATAAAAAATTAAAAATATTATCAAAAATATTTTTATTATTACTTGTTAAAATATCTGTAAGTGATATGCCGTAAGATCTCAAAACGATACCACATTTTTGGATTGCCTTGGCAAACACTGGGAATTTCATTAGCGCGCGACCTATTAAAATTTTAATAAAATTTTGAAATTTCAATATACAGATATGTACATGCATCCGCGTATTTAGATATTTAGATTTTTTTAGTTATCGGTAAGGGTACGTAAGAAACTCTAGCCTCTTCCCATATTGTAGTATTTGTTTTAGGATAAAATTTTATTTTACTTGTTAACTGTAATAAATTAAGTTCTTAATAAATAGTAAGAAATAAATCAAATTTTTATGTGTATATTATATTAAGTTTGATAACATACTAGGAATATGTTAGGATCATGATCGTAACACTATATTTGTACTTTCTGTATACTTATATATTCTATAACTTAACATTCTTCTTTGTTGAATGTACATTTAAAATATTTTATAATAGTATATTTACTTACTCATCCCAAACCATTGAGTTCCTAATCCAGAAAATATGAAACAAATCGGTCTTCTGACATATGAAGTATGTTCTATTTTATTAATTGTATTATGAGGTATTTTAGACCCAGTTATCATGTATCCTCTGTAAGGATGACCTTCTATATCATTATTATGAATATGATGTAGCAGAGATATAAACTCAGCATCTATTGGTCGATTTCGCACCTGCATTCAGTAACAAGAATGTACATCCTATAATCCTTGGAATAATTTTACACAAAAAAAGGCAATAATATTGTTTTATTCTGCAGTGTTTTACTTTAGGAATTATTAAATGCATTATTATTACTTAATATATTAAATAAATATATATTTAATACATTGACTTTTCTTTTTTGTGCAAATTCGAAATAATTTCGAAAGTGATTATGTACGCAAATATCTTTTTAGACACTATATAAATACACGTGTGTATATTTAATTGCTAAGTTTGTTATATTTATAATAATACAAAAAACTAATGTCAAAAATTATTTCTGAAATAAATAAAATAAGCCATTATAATGTTTGCTTACATCATCTAAGATGATTTTAACTGCTTCCTCCGTACGACCAGATACAGTTACAAGCCTAGGTAAGTCATCATTCGAAGCTCTATTGTTGATTTTTTGTTTTGGATTTGATTTTAATAATATGTGGCCATTAACCCCTCCAAACCCAAAAGAATTGATACCTACATAACCACCCTCCCATTCTGTTGGTTCAGTGACGATCTTTATTCTTCCTTCGATAATAGCAGTTAACTCTTTTCGCGGACGCTTGAAGTGTATAGTAGGCGTAATTATACCAGTTTCCATCGCTAATAATACCTTTAAGAAATCACATCTTTTTATTAGCAGTAATTATAGTAATTATTTTATATAAATGTGTTATATACATATGTATTATAATTGTAACAATATAAAAAAATATAAATTGCTATAATCACATTTTAAGCAAAGTCAGTGTTAAATCATTTTATTACAAATGTACCTTTGCGATTTGACAAAGGCCACTGGCGGGTTCGGAATGTCCAATATTTGATTTTATCGAACCCATCAATAAAGGAGTGTTTCTTTTAGCGCATAAAGTCTGGTCAATGGCCATAACTTCTATGGGATCATCGGCAAGAGTACCAGTTGCATGGGCCTCTACGTAAGATAACTCATTGGGCGAAATTTCACATTCCTTATAAAATTTACTCAACAATATTTTTTGCTTTTCGACCGATGGAAAAGTAATACCTTCTGCTTTAAAACCATCGCAATTTATTTTACCGTGTACAAGGGTTGCATAATCCTTCTTGCATTTTTTGCCTTTTGCAGATATACTACCGCGACCGTATCGCTACGCATATATCCGGCGCCTTCCTCGTCAAAGGGTTTACAGTAACCATCAGAAGATAAAACCCCTAGAAGAAAATTAATTCATGTTATTAAATAAAGTTTTTTAAGCTTCGATTCAATATCTAAGTGTAAGGATAGAAAGGAAGCATAGGCGATTGTTTCACAGAGAACGTTATTGGATAAACAAAAACGTAAAATAATAACATAATCTTAATATAATTTACACACAACAAGAGTTTGTCGATTTCGATCAATTTAAATTACGAGATCATTCTCGTCCGATTTGACGTGGAAATTGCTCAGATATCGTATTAATATAACAAGAACGACATATAATCAATGATTATCTGAATCAATAATTATTTATTTAAAATCTGAAATTTGCGTAAAGATGGAAATAAATGAGATATAAATAAACAAATAAAAAAATGTTTATAATCCATACAATATATAATATACACTATAATAAGATATAATAAATACATACCTAGATGGTAAAATTGAAATTGTACATAAGGATGGAGGCATAGATTGGCGGAAGCGATAATGGCCGCGTCGCACTCTCCAGACTGAATCAGCTCGTAAGCTTTCACTATAGCAACGTTACTTGACCTACATGCAGTATCAATATTATGCGACTG